GGGGGAAAATTTTTTTTTTATCTTTTTAAACTAATTTTTTTTTTTTTTTTTTTTTTGTTCAGGCAGAACAAAATAAAAAAAACAAACTAGAACGGTATTTGAAGCCATATTTTGAGTTTAAATACTAATTCTAGAACATACATTAAAAATTAAAATGCTGCATTTTTATGTTGAAAATTTGACTTTTTAGCTATCTGTTAAGTGCTAACATACTTGTTTTTCCAATATAAAACGGGCTTAACTAGAACAGTTGAATTCTTTTTATTCCATTTTTACTCCATGAAAGTTTGATTTCTTTCGACCCTTATGGTTAACTTTACTGTAAAAATATCTCCTACTCATGCCTCTAACTTTACCATGCTGTCACTTTTACCCCCTGTTATGCAGTGACGGGTCATAATAATGCTAACATCCACCCCCCATATTGGCCTCCTCCTGATGAGCGTGGCTCTCTCGCTGAGCGGTGCTGCAGCTCTTCGCTCCGCTCCTTCTTCATCATCATGCCAGACAGAGCGTCATGTGACCCGCCCTCTCGGTGTCCAGAGGAGACGGCGCACACAGACGGCTCCAGTGCGAAGACACATTCAGAGAGGACAGGAATAAGAAATAAAAAAAGTTAAACATTCTTCTGGCATCATGACGCTGCGGGACGAGCTTTTAAAGTCTATATGGCACGCGTTCACAGCTCTGGATGTGGACAAAAGCGGGAAAGTCTCCAAATCTCAGCTCAAAGTAAGTTTATCAAGTCGCACCAATTTACTTTTTCTTTTCTTGTTCTTATTTATTTTTTTTTAAAATATAATTTATCTTGATTTTTGAGGTATCACTCAATGCTTCTCCCCACTTCTGGTATGTTTGCCTTGTTTTTAATGCCGTTCGCGTCTCTTCCTCCTCCCTAAGAACACAGGGCGCCTCTGTTAGACTGCAGCAGCAGCGGAGGCGCACCTGGTGATGATGGGGCACAAATCCAACTCTTAAAACAAGTGTCCGTGGGAAAATAATCACATCTCGCGACGGAAATCGCTACTTTGTCGGTTTCAGTTTGTCTCCATTCATATTTTTCAAGCTGAGAAACCCACAACACAAGCGCGACTATAGGGAACGTTTTCTGCAACAAAATCTCTTCTCCAGTGTCAGAAGCGCTCACTGATAGCAGCTGAGTGCCAGCCAAGCATTGTTCAGCAACAATAAAGGTCAACATGGAGGTCAGCTGACTGGGATTCTGATGAGAGGGAGGGAAAAAAAAGAGTTTGGTCAAGTCAGAGTTGTTTCTTGTCTTGAGTAACATGTGAAACTGTCATTACTTGAGTCAAATTAGTCACACTGCAGTTGCTTCAGGTTTACTAACTACACTGAAGTCTGTGGCTGAAAGTCCTTCCAACAGGGCCGGTCCAAACCTTTTTGGGGCCCTAATTTTTTATTTTATTCATTTGTTTTTTTTTTTGTTGGGGGGGGGGGGGTTTGTCTGGGGTTGACATGCCAACATGTCAACACCAGATGCTTTATCATTCCTAAGCTACTCTATGTAGCACACCTACTATCATTAGCATCATTTGTAATTAACTTTCATCATACCAATGCTATTAAGACCATTGATTTTAACCTTACAAGAATAACAAACAAACAAAAAAAGGATTTTGAAATGCAGAGTGGTATTTAAGTGTGCCATATTATTTTAAATATTTGAAAGTAACACTAGCTGATAAACATTAAATTTACAGTACACGAGTTGACAAGTTTGATATCTTATTTCCCTAACGGGAAGAGATTAACCATCGTCATGCTAGCTTGGCGCTCTTGGGGTCCCCCTGGTTGTGTGGTGGTCCTAAGCAACCGCTTAACTCGATTATTTGGCTGGCCCTGCCTCCCAGGCCCCTATTCTGTATCACTCAAAAGGAGTTTGAGCTGTAATTGCAAAGTGTTGAATGGGGATAAATTGAAAATAACACCACAAAGTTTTTATACTTTTTATTTTAAAAATGACATTTTCCTCTGTTTCACAATGATGGACGGTTCTGTGTTGTTCTATCTCATGAAATCTCCATAAAATGCAATAATGTTGGTAATAATGTATTAAAATATAAAAAGTATGAGATGTGAATACCTTTGCATTGTATTGTTGAACTCTTCCTCAAGCGACCCACATCTACACCACAGGAACTGCAGCCGATTGCATTTCTCAAAACTCTGCGATCGAGTAGCAGCTGCTCCTTCACCAGAGCTCTGCAAACTTTGGATGTTCTCATTTAACTTTCATTACTGTTTGCATCCAAGTACATGCCTCACAAGATTATTGACGTACCTAAGCTTTGTCACTTTGTTTACTTTGAGAAACACAAATGTTCTGAGTATTTTAGTGGGTTTTACGTGATAACCAACCCAAAGAAGTCAATAACTGTGAGACAGATTGTAAAAATACTGTAGTTTTCAATTTATTATCATTTCTCTAAATTGAAATCTGAAAAGTTTTGCATGCATTTGTAAGCTTACTTCTGTAGAAGTGTTTAACTTTCAAAGCAAGAAAATAAATACGGAGTATCTTGTTACAAAGATAAACGTTGCCATTACAACAAGAAAGTTACTTGTTTTGTCAAGATTTATATCATTAAAACCAACATATATGTTGCCGTTTATCCCATGTGTCGTTTTTAGAAGTCACAATATGTCATACATTCATGTTTATTCCTTGTTAACTGAGAACATTTCTTATGTTAATTAGATAAAACTTATTATGAAGTTTTATATTTTGTTAAAACGAGAAAGCTTCTTCTTTTAATCAGTTAGGTGTCTTGTTTTCACAAGAATCTTTGTTGTAATGAGACACACCTCCTGTATTTGTTTCCTAGCTCTAGCAGTGAAATGTTTTTAATAGAGCCTAAATGTAATTAACATCAGCAAACACCCAGGTGTTCTGGGAAAGCCTCAGAAGTTTGTTAGAGAACTTTAGTGAACAGACGGCTCCATCAAGACCAATGTGGTTTCTCGGTTCTGTTTTTTTTTTTTACTCTCTTTCTGCAGGTGTTTTTTGTGTTCTCTTTGTCCTTTCTTGTCTTATCTCTCTTTCACATTTCACTTTTTGCCCCCTCTCTCGTCTTTTCTGTTTTTCTTGTTCTCTTTATTTTCCTGTCTCTATGCCCATCCCCTTTAAAAATAAACCCAAAGCAATTTCTGTATGTGCTACGCTGCCGGGCAGGGAACGTACAGAAAGCAACAGAAAATCTCAGGCGGATGAACACTGGATGGATCATGGATGAAGTTCTGGAGAAGTTGTAAACAATGTTAGGTTGTGAAATGATATTCTGAGCTTTGACCATCTAACGCTGCATTGTTCAGCCCATCATCTGAAGATGGAAAATAATCTGCTGACGTGGTAACGATCATCCATGGACTCCACAAACAAACTAGGGTGAAGCGTTACCTTCAGGAGCTAGCAGCGCTAGCAGTGGTGGGGTGTAAAGTTGCTCCTGCTTTGCAGAACCCAGAGACCTACATTTCTGTGTTGGTTCCCCAAGATTGAAGATGTCGTCATTAGTGTCCTTTTCATAAAATGTGTGAATTTGTGCTAAACTATTTTTCCTTTCTTGTACCATTTCTTGCTGTCAATACATCGCATGTTGTTAAAAAGTGTATATCTCCTTAAATAGTCCCACATTTGGAAGAAAAATTGCACTTGTTGGTAAATGAGTAAATGAGTCCCACCCATGAAAAACTCCCCAGTAAATTTCTGCCATCGCCCAACAGTTTTATCTGGATGTAGTGTGATTTTGTTGTGTGACCTAAAATGAGAAGCAAGGGTTGTTTTCATTGTAGGCAAGAACTTTGCCACTCAAATCAAATGTGGTGACACAGAATAGGATCAGAACAGGCTTTCTAAGGGCAAAAGATTTGTCACACATCGGTATAATAAAAAAGTAAATGACTCAACCAAAGTGTCCTTACTTTTCTGTGCTGAATATATATTATGACACCCCTAACATAATGTTTATTAGACCTGTTTTTCCTCTTGTTTCAGGTGCTTTCTCATAACTTGTGTACGGTGTTGGGGATCCCACACGACCCGGTGGCGCTGGAGGAACATTTTAAGGACGATGACGAGGGTCCTGTTTCCAATCAGGGGTACATGCCGTACCTCAACAAGTTCATCCTGGATAAGGTCAGTCAGTGACACCACACAGCGTGTGTGGTCACAATGAGCCCAGGACCAAACCTAGCCTTTCTCAGGTTCTTAATGTTTGTTTTCCAAAAGGTTCCTATTGGTAAACCATTGTGGACACTGCAGCAACAAAATGACTGACGTTGAGTCAGCTATCTGCTCCATGACTTTTTATCTGCATGTAAGGAAAATGTTGCACAATCAGGGAGTTGATAGCAGAACATAAACTGGGGCAGCAGGTTGTTAAGTTGAAGTATATTTACAATATAACAGACCTGAAACAGTGGTAAACTTGTCTAAGAAGGCTACTCCCAGAAAGCCATAACAGTCTGATTGTTGTGACGTTCGGATCTGAGAGCGTCTCCTACGACTCATTAGGGTGACACTGTGTAAACTACAGTTGGTAAGCTACAGGCGGTGAGCAACCGGCTCACTACCTGAGCAGATTGCCTGACTAGTTAACTAGCTAATATGAGTTTGTTCCATTTGTCTTACTAAGCTGTTATATTTAGGAGGTGTTTATTCAAAATAATAGAAGTTACAGGTGCTGTGGTGGCACAGGGGTAAAACACAACCTGAGTGTGAACGTCACAGGTTCGATTCCCGGCCTGATGACCTCTGCCGCATGTCTTCCCCCTCTCTCATGACTCACTTTCCTGTCCAGCCATCTGCAAATAAAAGCCACTAGAACCAACAAAACCTTTTAAAAAATATGTTGGCATAAAGTTATTGTAAGTGTGATACTCTTAGACGAAGCCAGGATCGGTGGGAATTGTTGTTTTTCTGTTTTTAGATCAAAGAAATTAGTTTATTTAGTTTTAAATTTTGCATAAATACAATGAAATCAAAGGATCAACAGGTTATTGTAACATCAAACTCTCACAGCAGCCCTACAGGGTACAATAACTCTGTGGTTTTCAACAGGAAATTAGCAATAACTTACAACGGTTTAGGTGGAATTACTACAAGACAAGACAAACGTCAAACATTTTTTACTATTTTCCACTTCTTCAGTATTTAAATCAGATCATAAAGATTGTTACTAAAGTATAAAATTGGTTGCCATTTAATTCTGGAGGTGTAGACATTTTTTCTCAGTTTACTAGCTAGCATGCTAGCTATATACACAGAGTAATCTGTTGTGTGTCTCCCTTTTAATGTTCACTCAGTATCCTTGGAGCTAAACGCTGACTTCGCTCATTAAAATATCTGTGCCTTCATGGTGGCGTCACCGTCACTGCATAAAAAGCCTCTGGTGTTTGTTCAACTGGACAGTCTGAAACGACCTTTTCTTTCTATTACATGACATCATACCAAGAGGTCACTGTCAACGGGAGCTGCTGTGGCTCAAGCTCTTATTAGAATATAGAAATGTGTGAAAATAAGACCATGTTACCGTGGCAACCCCACAGGGACAAACCAAAACAATGAGTGCATTTCTGATAGCCAAGGCAGTTTGGACTACACAGCAATCATCTAGTTATCTGACATTTTTAACTGTAGCTTATTGTACGCTGGATATTTTAGTGATTGTTTCTCTATTTCCTTATTTCCCTTCGTGTGCTGGGATGCCCAGTGTCTCTTGTGACTTCAACATCTGAAAATGCAAAACAGATTGAAAAATGTGATCTCAGATTTTATTACCCATCATGCTGGTGATCCAGCTTTAGTTAATGTTTAGTAAAAATACCACATGGTGTTAAAACTTAAAACAAAAATGTATAACATGAATAGATTTATTTAATTTTTCAAAGTATGCAAATCATTCCCTTTGTCTTCCTTACACATGTCGAAAATGATGTTTTTTGCACATTATTATTTGTAAAGTACCTCTGCAGGAAGGTGAACCTGAGCCCCAGCAACGTCTTCTGCAGCCTTTGAAGGGACAGTGTCATGTAAAATGTAAATTTTTTGTGTTTATATCATGTTATAATGTTATTCCCTCATCAAAAACCGACCTGGGGAGCTGCTTTGATCCTTTCAAGCATTATTGAGAAATCCTGTTATCAACATGGCAGCCATTGAGCTCAAAGGTGGATCTATAGCTTCACCTTTGAGGTGTTTCTGAACTTCTACCTCAGAGCAGCTGACCCCATGTCTCTCCCACTAAGCTCCTTCAGACTAGCCAGCAGCAATTAGCAAACACCCTTAAAGAGGTTTCCTTTCTGGGTTGTCCTGTTTATTGTCTCTCTGTCCCTACACTCCAAAAGAATCTCCACAGCATGATGAAGTTACTTCCATGTTTAACTGTAGAGATTGTGACTTTAGATAATGTTCAGTACTAGTTTCCTGCCATGCATGACCCAATTTTATGATGACTTCTTCCAGATGTTTGTCCTTTAATGTGGATTGTAGCTTCATTACCACTGGCCACTCGTTCACTGAGGCCAGTGTTTTGGTCAACAAATACTCATAGCTATGTAATTCTGTTATTTTCTTTCCATTTCACATTTATGCCCTGCTTTGTTTGTTGGTCCGTTACATAAAAAAATCAGTTGTTTGCTTTTGCTAATTAATAATTATTAATTGATAATTAATTAATAATAATAACTAACTGATCTATTGACTGCAGTTTTAAGGAAAACACACATTCCGTCCTTTGGGAATACCTTTGGTTTCTTTCTGTTATTTGGTTTATTAGACCTGATGTTGATGTCAGCATCTCTGCGACTAAATCGCTGCATTACAAAATCGTTCTCCACTACCTGGTGAGTTCATTTCATCAGAGATAACTGATGACTGCAAACTGTCAACATTACCGCCCTGGAAGAAACTCTGGGAATTCCTTTCATGTCAAAGTTTCCTCACTAGTTCCTTGTTCCTTTTGGTATCGGGTCATAAAGCTGTAAAGTGTGTTTTACGACTACCAAGTCTGACACCATTTGGTGTGTGAAGTAGGTGACGGATGCTAACGAGAGACTAATTTGATTCAGTGTTAATGTTGTCTAACAAAATGTGTCAGACATTCTCTCTGCTGTTTTACACAAGAAAAAAATCGAAAGGTTCATTTAACACAAACCGACGTATTTACTCAAGCCTGGACGTCAGACTAATCAGTTACCAGCTTACGGTGTTTTCTGAACAAATCAGTCTGACTATAGGATTAGAAGTGACTTCTAATAAAATAATTAACACTCACCCCTCCTTCCTAACATTGTTTGTACTTTTCCACACACAGCCACCCCCCTGGCCTGTGGACAAGGGTCGAAGGGGTGGCTGTCGACGCTTTGGGCCGCCGAGGAAACTCCACCCTGTCACACAAGGAAATCGTGTTGAATGGGCCCGAGTGTGAACCAGAATAAAAATAAAAAAAAAATCCTGTTGAACATTTAAATAGAGCAGAGGCCAGGAGAAACTGCATCCATGTGTTTTTATAGGTGGAATATAGAGGAAGATAGAAGAAGTGCATCTTCCTCAGTGACTCACTGTTTTTTTTTGTTTTTTTTTTTATAATAAAGCAGGATATAAAGTTGTTTTTAAATCTTGTGACAGAGCTCAGTGAGTTGGGACAGTCTCATTTAGTGCGTTGATGGACTGAAGAGGTTAAAACACAAACAGTTAAAGTATTAAAGGGCCGGTACGATGTAAAATTGACTTTACTAAACTTTACATCATGTTATAATGTTATTCCCTCGTCAAAACATCCTTGAAGTGTTGTTTTGATTCTTTTATGCATGATTGAGAAATCCTTTAATCTCCCGTGGCAACCATTCAGCTTTTCAAAACGGCTGGGTGGACTTAGCTCCGCCTTCAGGGATTTACACTCTTGATCCTCTTTGTTTTAGTACAATATTGTCTATTCGGGATAATATTGAAGAAATAAAAACAACAAATGTCTTCAGAATTGAAATCTTTTCAGGTTTAATAAAAAATAAAAATAAGAAAAGAGTGATCTTGAGTTCTCTCAACCTAACAATTTTTGGTCCAAATGGGAAAAGGTTTGGACACCACTGCACTAATATAGGGAAAAAGGTGGATCTTTAGTCAGGATAGCAGATAAAAGTTGTGTGACACCTCTAGAGAGAACCGCTGCTCTGGTGGGACAATCTGTTGGCACAACGGCTATCAGCGAAGCCGTCCATAAATCTGATCGATACGGAATGGTGGCAGTCAGGAAGCGGTTGATAAAGGAAAATCATGCTTCCAGTTTGCCATGAGTCGTGTAGGGGAGACGGCAAATTTGTGGAAGAAGCTGCTCTGAGCAGATGAGTTCAGACTTTTACTTCCTGCCCAGTGAAATTTAGTGGTGGCAGCACCATGATATGAGGGCAAGAAAGGTGATAAGAGGATGGAGATAAATGCAGAAGTACAGATATATGCCACACTTCAGATTTTCATTTATATATAAAAAAATAAAAACAGATTAAAGCTGCAGTTTATATAATATTTTTTCCTCCATGGTAAGTTGTTTCTCCTCCATTAGCATATTTAGCGGGAGGAGGAGGAGAAGGAGCTCCAACCAGGCGTTTTACACAGCTGGAATGGTTGCCGTGGGAGATTAATGGATTTCTCAAGGAACAATCTCCAATAAGCGACCAGTTCAGCCTGGCTCTGATAAACAAGGAAATGCAGAATGAACTTTAAAAACTGAAGCTGAAGTTTGGACCCAGAAAGTCAGTAAACTACTCAGCACGTGGCATGTTAGTATCTTACTTGAAATATGTGAACTTGGACTGGAAGTAGGGCAGCAGGACAGAACCAGTGAGCCATAAGGAAAAAGACAAATGGAGAAAACACAGTACAAAGATGATGTGGGAAGCAAATCCCTGTTTCACAACATCAGCTACCTCCTCCTCTGCCTTGCTGTAACCTCTGATTCACTTCCAACCCACCCAGATAAACAACCTCAACATGTGATCAGTGCTGTTCCTCCTTGTCTCAGCAGTGCTGTTTACTGAGGTGCTTCGTTAAAGATGTATTTGTTCTGAAATATGATATAATATTTATTATGGATTGAGTCTATTTCTCAGCATTCATGTCATTTCTTTCAACTCCACCCA